GAAGGATGGGAGGGACTGAGGGGAGAGAGTCTGGGAGCGAGCTATTGGACTGTAGCAAGAGGGACACAGGGCAGAGAAAAGGGGAGGAGGAGGAGCAAGAGAGCGCAGGGCATGGAAAAGCTGGGGGGCCTTAGGGACAGAGGGGTGCCACTAGAGAGCACTGTAAGAAGTCTTGGGGGGGGGTAGGAAAAGGAAGGCGACAGCACCTTGGGACCGGCCATGATAAAAGAGGACAGTCGATGGGGACTGACTGCTGGGAGAGGAAGGCAAGTCCAAGATCTGAGCACTAGCCTAGACCTTGGAAGACCTAGGTTCCAGTCTTTGTTGTGTCATAGTCTTCCTTTGAGCCCTTGAGACTTCATTTCCTACCTGTGCAATTGGAATAAAGCTGCTTCCCTAACCCATAGGGGCACTGTGAGGATAAATATAGTAAAGATTGTGAGGTGCTCGGATACTATAATAATGGGTTTGTGAGCAGTATCTTTGATATCTAGATAAATGAAAGAGAAATAGTGTCTGGGAGCGTGGAGAAGTGGGAAACGCTTGGGGGAGTGGAGAGAGATCCACAAGGACGTTTTCTATAAAGAAGGTGGTTTCTCCTGGCTACTTGAATTGGCAAAGGGAAACATCAACCCAACTCTTAAGGCAGTGTTTTATTAGCCAGGGATTCACCCTCCAATCCCCTAGTCTGTACACTTAATACCTGGATTTGATAGGATCATATATGCCCTGATCCTTGAAGTTACTCCATACAGGAGGACAGACATGCATAGAATGTTAGGATATGTTAATTTGCTTAGTACAGGTTTGGGGAATGCTTTTAATAGATACTTTCAACCTCAGTGGATTTTGTGACAGATTGTCAGATCTTGACAATTTTTAATGTAACATATTTTATCTTTCTCTCTGCATTTCATTAAATTGCCTTTTATCTGGAAAAGTTTTAATTTTCACTTGGGTTTGAATTTTGAAACAATAAAAATAATGAGCTTTTTAATGACACTATTTTCTGCATTGGTAAGACAGAAAAAAAGCACAAGTAGGTCTCAAGCTGTGACAATTTGAATGGAATGGGATTTCAGTAAAATAGTGAGATTTGAAATGGCTCATTTGAAATACATTCTTCATCACTAACATTAGATACTTTTAAAAAACTAAACCGAAACCAACAACATCTCTCACCTCATCTGCTGTAGTGATTTCATTACAAGAGCCTTATTCTTTAAGCACTTGCAAGACCCGGATATTTAAATGCACTCAGGAGGTACGTCTAGACAGCGGCACTATTTTGGGATATGTCTGGTATCCTGAAATAGTGTTTTCCATGTCTTAACAACACGTCCGCTATTTCTAAATGCAATCAAAATAACGGATTTGCTATTCCGATGTCCGGTAAACATCTTTACACAAGGATTAAGGGACTTGTCAGAATAGCGGGCTATTTCGAAATAGACTAGCTCAAAATAAGCTACACAATTTGCGTAGCTCAAATTGTGTAGCTTATTTCAAGCTATTGCTGCTATGTAGACGCACCTGAGATGTCTGCCTAAGTCCATCTTTTGGGGTTCACTGACATCTTCAAAGCCACTTGTCAGCAGCCGACCAACACTATCGCTGTCTATGTTTTTGCCAGTCTGCATTGCAAAGCTAGCTAAGTGCTGGCATTACCCCACAGCTTGAGCTCTAGCCCAAGCTGAAGCTCCAGAGGCCTCACAGCCATTTTCTCTACCGAGTGGGTTTGACTCCCCTCACATGTCAGAGCATGCCCAATACCTTTTAATTGTCAGCTCCCACATTCAGGTTCAAAGGAAGGCCACCAATAGGTGAAGGGCATCAAAGCTCCACCACAAAATGCACAGGGAAATGTAGGGCAAGCATGAGCAAGCTGTCTAAAAAGAGTGACACGGTTTTGGCTGCTGGGCCCTGAGCCACCTGAAAAGCTGACTCCTTTGGTGCCTCACTCCAAGAGGAATCGATTTTGAAGCACTTGGAACAGGAGAAAGTGATCAGGAACAGTCAACCTGGATTCACCAAGGGCAAGTTGTGCCTGATCAACCTGATTGCCTTCTATGATGAGGTGCCTGGCTCTGTGGATATGGGGAAGGCGGTGGACGTACTATACCTTGACTTTAGCAAAGCTTTTGATACAATCCCCCCCCAACATTCTTGGCAGCAAGTTAAAGTAGTATGGATTGGATAAAAGGACTGTACGGTGGATAGAAAGCTGGCTAGATCATGGGCTCAATGGGTAGTGACCAACAGCTCAGTTGGCAGTTGGTATCAAGCAGAGTGTCCCGGAGTGAGTCCAGTTTTGTTCAACATCTTTATTAATGACCTGAATGAGGAGATGGGTTGCACCCTCACCAAGTTTGCAGATGACACTAAGCTAGGGGGAGAGGTAGATAAGCTGGAGGGTTGGGATAGAGTCCAGAGTGACCTAGACAAATTGGAGGATTGGGCTGAAAGAAATCTGATGAGGTTCAACAAGGACAAATGCAGGGTCCTGCACTTGGGATGGAAGAATCCCAAGCACTCTTACAGGCTGGGGACCAATTGGCTAAGCAGCAGTTTGGAAGAAAAGGATCTGAGGATTAAAATGGATAACAGTGTGAGTCAACAGGGTGCCTTGTAGCCAAGAAGGCTAAGGGCATATTGGGGTGCATTAGTAGGAGCATTGCCAGCAGATCTAGAGAAGTGATTATTTCCCTTTATTTGGCACTGGTGAGGCCACATCTGGAGTCCAATTCAGGGCTCCCCATTACTGAAGGGATGTGGCTGCACTGGAGACAGTGCAACGGAGTGCAACAAATATGATTAGGAGGCTGGAGCACCTGACTTATGAGCAGAGGTTGAGGGAACTGGGCTTATTTAGTCTGCAGAAGAGAAGAGTGAGAGGAGATTGGAGGTTCCAAAGAGGATGGAGAGAGGCTGTTCTCAGTGGTGACAGATGACAGAACAAGGAACAATGGTCTTTAGCTGCAGTGGGGAAGGTCTAAGTTGAATATTAGAAAAAACCTATTTCCCTAGGCGGGTGGGGGAGCACTGGGATTGGATCCCTAGGGAGGTGGCTGAATTTCCATCCCTAGAGGTTTTTAAGTCCTGGCTTGACAAAGCCCTGGCTCAACGAACTCCTGGGGTCTCTTCCAGCCCTATGATTCTGTGATTCTATAAGATAGCAGCTCAGGACAGAATTCTGACAGCAAAAAGCAACTGTAAAAATCACATAGTGAGATTCCACTCCTCTTGGGGCCTAATCTTGGGAAGTGCTGAGTGCCCTCAGTTTCCATTGCCTGGACTGGGAGCTGAGTATGCTCAGCATCTCTAAGGAGACATTTGGCTGGATCAAACCCTACCAACCTGATTCTGGCTCAAACTTGCAGGGCTAACAAGATGCTGGGCCTGCTTCTTTACACTAACAGCCCCTGACACTGCTCTAGACATGCCATTTCAGAGACTACATTAGCACTCTGCTAAAGCCCACTTGCACTGTCAAAGTGGTGTAAAGGGACTTTGATGTAAAGTAGGAATCAGACCCGATGTTTCTACTTGCAAACTATGGTAGGGATGTGTAAGCCCAGCTGTGCTTTCTCCCTCATCACCACCAGTGTGTATTTAAATCCTTATTTGCTGTATCATCGCTAATGTAGCTTATTATTTATACAAAAAAATTAAAGCATGACTGAATGGCTCATGGGGTCTGCAATGGGATAGAGCCTTTTGTCTCGAGTTGGTTCAAATCCAGCCCAAATCATTTGTGCCTGAAATTATTACCATCTGGTAGTGGCTCTGTGAAACGCAATATGTGAAATTAGCTTTTGGGGCTCCAGTCTCATTCCCAGATGTCTTCATCATCATCATACCAATATATTTGTCATTAACTGGCAAACTCAACAATGGGGCCAAGGAGAGAATGGGTCATGGAGTGTGAATTACCTATCACCCCTATCGGACATCCCTCCTGGGTGAGATGCACCGACACAGTCATGTTGGAAGAACTATGTAGAGCCAGAGCCTCAGCTGCCCTGTTGTGTGGCTAGATGGAGGACATCAGTCTCCAGGCCTGTCATGCTGGCTCCTTTTACCAACACTAGCTTCACACACACTTAGTAACAAGTTTCAGGTCCCTTTTTGCCTCCATCCCTCCAAAGTCATTTTATAACGGAAACTGCCATCTGCGGTGACTCTTATTCATGCTCTCTCTGGCTGCAATTAGCTTTAAACTTTCACTTCCTGTGAACACAACTGTCCCAGTCCTAAACTCAAGCTATTTT